CTTTGGCTTGGAACTGGCTACTATTCCAACACACATGTAACACCTTCTCTCCATCCCTAATTGCCTTTCCTTTAACACATGAAATTACCAAAATGACTTCGTCCAAAAATAAACCAACGAACGTTCAGCGCTGCCTGGCTCCTCAGACGGTTTTCAGCCAAGACATTTGTGCCCTCCTGGTCTCTCCTGGGAAGCCCAGGAGGAGACTGGCGTGCTTGTAAATCTGCCCCTTCCATAAAATCCTGAGAAAAGATGCCATGAAGCCCATACCTGGGGCAGGTGAGACGCACAGGTTGCAAATCATAACGCCTGCCCAGTCATTTCTAGGCATTTGTTATGGTGTCTTAAGTCAGCAACCTCAACAACTCCCCTGGTCTCCAGCCACGAGTAAAAGTGCTGAAGGAAATCAGGCTGCGGTAATTTCCCCAAACCCCAGAGCTAACATGCATGGTAATTAATTAATTTAGTGAAGAGAGGTTTTTTTCTGCTATGAGCTCTCCCAGGGGCTGCCACAAAAGCCCATCTCCTTGGAGGTCATCCCATGGCTTTAATCATGTGTCCCACACAATTCTGCTGGAGAATTCGGCAGAAGTTTTTCCAGCATGGTGCCTGAGATTCAGCCTCTGAGGCCCATCCTTTGAAGGAGAAATATAACCTTCTGAAGATGGATGAAACAGTGGTGCTGATGGGCTCAGTGGAAGCTGCCTCTTGATTTCCGTGAGGTCAGGATGAGTCCCACCACACACTGGCTTCTTGATGCAAGAAACAGCACAGCATGGGAGGACTTGGAGTCTTTTGGGGCTAATTATTTGTTTTAAAGAAAAGAAAACATTCAAGTCCAGTGCTTGTGGTTAATATAGAGCTTGTCAGAGCAAAGTTCATTTTCCCTAGAGTTGTTTTAGTTATGGAAGAACTTCAAGAATTCTTTCTGCAGCTTCCTTGAATTTGTCATTGAAGGTTTCCTGAATTATGCCTGCAAACCTCTTTAAATCTGATCACAGATGGAGCATAAATGCCATGTTATTGAAGTCGAAGGACAGAGCTTACTTTCTGGGGAATAATACATTGCAAGAACCTGATACAGAATCACTGGGATGATTTTTGTTTTGTTTTCTTTTAAACATGTTTCCTTCAAAGCTTCCACCCACAACACAATGCTCACCCACCCCCATAACTAATTCATTATTTTACAGCAAGTAAAATCAAACAGGAGACAAATGACTGTTGTTTAGTGCCATTAGTTTCAATGGCTTTACACAATATTTGAGTCATTGGCTCGTCTCTTGCTTTGGAGGAATCCCAAATCTGGATGAATCTACGTGCATTATAAACCATCCATGGGGCCAGGCCAGGCCTGCCTAACAGATGGAGGTCCATATGCTTTGGCTCTGCACCCATATGGAACACTAATATGCAGTGCAGGAATAGAGCATGCCTCTTCTCCTCTTCTCTAGCGATCTCCAATCCGAAGTCATTCCCAGACACAAGCTGAGTTAAGCAAGTTCATCTGGAAGCTGTGCAGTAAGACACCACAAGACTGATAGTCCAAGCATAATGTTTTCCTTACTCTGTGGTTCCTGCTGAAGCCTAAATTGCAACATTTCCTAGAAAGTGGCATGTCAGGCTTTCCAGAGCACTAGTTAAAAAACCCATTACGCTGCTCTAATGTGCTTTAAACTTTCTGCCTGGGTCGTCTGAGAACACCAAGTGCTTCATCGACTCTCACTGGAGAAGTTTCTCCAGGCAACCAAACCAGCAAATAGCTGAGGGTATTTCACAATGCCTGGGAGGTTTTGGTTGCTGGAGGCACAGGATTAGTATCAGATGTCCTGCCACCATCTCAGCACAGGGGGACTTAGCTATTATTGCTGGCAGCACTCCTCCACCCTCGCCACCAGTTTGTTCTGGCCCGGCGCTTCCAGGGGGACAACATTCCTGACTGCTTTTCAGCATTCAAGGACAGTGTTTTTCCTGGTGCCTAATCTCTGCTCAAACTCTGTGTTTTTCTCATGGATGCAACACGACAGATACAGCTCAGTTCTGTTTTGAGCACGTGAGCAGTAAATTCAGTGCCTGCACTGTGCAGCCTTCCAGGTGTTTGGTATTTCCTTTAGGAAGGCATCTACCTGACTATTTCTGGGGTATGTCCTCCTCCTGCTTGTGCTTCTTTAGGGTGTTGGAGATGGTTGAGGATTCCTTTGCTAACCAAGCAGGAGATATTTCCATCCATGCTGTTACTTCATGCACAAAAGGGCTGAAAAATGTATGGTTTGACAAATCATTGCATTGGAGACCATGGTTATGTGCCTGGTTTTTCCTTCTGACATTGAGGGGTACTCTGGAGAAAAACACATCCCTGCTGTGCCTGGTGCATCTCTCAAAGCTTTAAGCTTTACATTTCCACAGTTTCAAGCCTCTCTAGCATGAAATTGGATTGTTTAAATTTTTTAAAGGAGTGGTGGACAAAAAAAAATATCTATATCATGATTTGTAGATGGTGCAACATTTTTGAGGCTATTCTGCACAAAATTAAAAATGAATTTGTATTGGGATCAACTGAAACCACTTATATAACTTAAGTGAGACTGTCTGAAGTGCTTGGTGTTATTATTCCCAAGCAGTATCCAAAATGCAATGTAAAAATGCAAAAGATTTTCATTACACCTTGAATACAAAATATTGTGTCTTTCTAGTTTGCAAAAAAAAAAAAAAAAAAAAAAAAGATTCAGTTGTTTCATAGCCCCAATGGCAGTTTGAAAATAAATTTTAAAATGCAATTTGAATCACAGTGACTATTTGCACTTTGTTCACTAATTATCTGGGCTGTGACTGAAGCAGGGGGTTGGTTACTGACCCTGCACCAATCCCAGGTTGATACAGTGTTTGGGGAAAAGTGACCATCCCTCCTCCACCCCTCTCATTCAGCGGCTGGGAGGGAAGAGGTGCCTCTGCCAGCCCTGCCTGGGAGGGGCTGGGGAGAGTGGGAGGCACTCAAGAGTTCTGCCGTGCAGTTCCGAGGAGCTGCTGCAACTCAAATCACCCCAGTAAGCTTTAAATAAGGCAGTGTAAGAATTAATTATAAAGGATCTTGGCAGCCTGTGGACTCTGCAGTTTGACCAGAGGAGCCGTGCTGTGCCCATGCAAGATATGGGCAGATCTTCCCCAGGAGAGCAACAGCCACATCACTCTCTCTCTCTATATATATATTTATACACATGCATACACACACACACACACACACACATATATATACACACACTTTTATAGGAAGAACAGAAGTGCATTCCTCCTCTGCAGCTCATGAACACAGTGATGTGAGAGCTGAATAAAACTCCTTGTCTGAAGAAGATCCTTGTTCAGATGGGTCTGTAATGGCAGGATTGCTTCTTGAGCTTCGCTTACCAGGCCCCCAGATCACTGGAGTAATCGAGGGAAGAGGAGAACAGGGGTGAGCATGTTTGCCATGGTGCTCAGCAGTGTCGGAGAGTGCAGCGAGGTTTCATTGCTGGGCAGGCTGTTAGCCTGGAGACACAAAGCTGTGGCAGATCTGAAGGCTGGGATGTGACCAAGCAAACCATGGTTAAAATGAAAAGCGATTCAGACAGCTGGGCTGCAGGCTGTGGTGTGAGGAGCAGGCAAACCACCTTTATCCTCAAGCTGTTCTACAGGTAAAATGCACCAGACGTGCGTGGTGAGGAGAAGGACACTGTGTTTGGCCAGAAGCACCTGCCAGAGTGTTGTCCCCAAAAAACCACACTGGAAAACAGCCCCAAACTCTGGGCTTAGCCAGGTGGAGAGTCAAGTTTACCTCTATTTTAGAAGTTTAGGTCGCTTGTTACCATTCAGAGGCCTTTTGGCACAAATGTGCCTAACCTGTGGGAGGGAGCTCCTCATCCCAGAGCCACCAGCATCACCAGTTTGGAGTGGCCTCGCTGCTGGAGGGAGCAGCAGGACGGAGGAGCAAAGAACAAAGGGAGCTGCTGCTGTCATTTAGGGCAGTTAACTACATTCATGGTGCACCTCGTGCACCTGCATCCCTGCCTGAGTGGCATCAATACTCTCTTTTGTTTCACTCATGATGAGAGAAGAGCCTTAATTGGGCATGAAGAAATCCATCAAGCAGCAGTCTGGTGCAGCCGTGGGGTCCCCACAGCATCTGGCAGCTGCTGTGCTGCTCGATGGCTGATGGCTGCCCCAAAATAGCCCAAATATCATCCCCCCCATCCTGCCCCCCCACCAAGCACTGCTGCAGGAGGTGAACCTGAATCTCTGCTCCCACTGCTCACGAACAGCACAAGGGCTTTATGGTTCACTGGTGCTGGGGCTTGGTGGAGTCAGGTCCCAGCTATTTGCTGGAGATAGAGACGATAAATTATGTTTCCAGCCTGGGGAGACACTCAGAGAAACAGATCGGAGGGCTTGACACAGCCCACTAAAGGAAGGGTAAATTCCTAGTTGTTTTTGTGCATACAAACACAGCAGGGACCAACCTGCATGGCAGTGAGGTGAAATGGGAGCTCGGCCAGGGATTTCAATAGCTGCAGGGTCTTGCTCATGGTTTAATGCATTTTTACAACAAGGGTGAGCAGGACCCTTTCTGGGAACAGAAGCATCACCAGCAATTTCATCCCCCTGAATAATTTGCTAATAACTTGCCTGTGCTTTAATACAGCAGCTGCTTCAAGGGCACCAGAAAAAAACACTTCTCCCACCCCCTTTTCACCACCCAGCACACCCCTGTTGTGCTGTTATAGATTTATCTCAGTAATCTCTGTAGGCACAGCAAGGACATCCTGATGGCTCTGGATGTCTCCCTGGCACAGCACTGACATCCACCCCAGGTGGGCAAACAAGCCCAGTCTTCCCCCTCCTTCACCAGCAAAGGGGGTTCCAAGCTCTCCCCATTTAATCCCATGGCATTTCATGGTCTTGCCTCCCCTCTCGCCCTTTCTAGTCAACGAAAATAAATACAAAATAAAAATAAAACCCCTGCACATTTATTTCATTTCCTCTATTTTTATTTAAAAAGAAGGTTTGCTAACAGCAATCAGTACCATAGCCCAGGCTCCTCAATACAACAGTTGGCTTTTGCAGTCTCTGCAGCTCCATCCCTGCTCTGTGCCGGGGACAAACCAGGGAATTATCCAGCTTTAACAACCACTCCTGAATCACTGGAACCTCCTTGGGATTGCAGATTACTTCCATCTTGCAGTTTTACACTCTGTCTCCTTCTGCCTCAGCTTAAGCTGAGATTCACAGCCAGGTTTAGCTTTATTGTGCAACTAAACTCAAGTAAAAATAATACCAAAAAAAAAAAAAAAAATGTGCCAGGTTTTAAAAAAACACATAAAAGAAATAATTTTCTGGTGCTGGAAAGAAACATCCCCTTGGTGGCAGATTAGCCCACATTTATACACTATAATGTTGCTTATACCTTAATCTTAAGCATCTTCATCTGACACTAATTAGCAGGCTGGAGGCTCCTATGGGTACAGTAGCTTCTATGGCCCAAAACATGAAAGCAAGCTCTTCCTTTTACCACTTGCAGCACTCGAGTTTTTAAAGAGACAATGTCAAGTATTTCAGTCTCAAACTGCACACTTTTTAACTTAAAAAACACAGCAGTAGGAGAAGGCCCGAAGGTGATGATACCCAGCCATGGCAGCGTTGCAGAGCATGCTCAGGGTTTGCCTGTGCACTGTTATTTACTCTCCCACAAATTAAACCCAAACAGCCCTTGCTGAACCCCGGACTCACCTCCATTCTGGCACTGACTGCTAATTAGGAGACAAATAGAATAGGCTACAGAAGCAGAAAATTACACAGGCTCATCAAATCCATCTAGTTGCTTCCCTCAAAACCCCCAAAAATCAGAGAAAAGCAAATGTGGTTATAAAAATCCTTTATGTTTGGGTTCTCTCTGAAAAAAAAAGGAAAAAGATTATTTGTACGATGTTCATCACCAGGCAAGCATCCCATCAAAATCCATCCAACAACCTATTTAACTGTTGAGAGCAAGAGATAATTAGGGCTTGAAAGGACGGACAGAGTGGAACTTCAGGAATTCCGTGCTGTGTGCTGGTTCTTTGTGGAGAAACTGAAAATAAATTATTTAGACTCAGCAAAGTCCCTTGAAGTCCTGTGGTCTTTCTGCTTGGCTGGGTCCAGGCCTATCACCCATATTTTGGCAATTATTTCTGGAGGGGCAGAGAAGGCAGGCTGCTTAGCAGATACCAGCTGGGAATTAAGAGCTGGATGTACTTATGGTTTTCATGAGCCCTGACAGATGTTGAGTGTCTTTGTGGCACAGTGAGACACTTAATACTAACAGTGCCAGTTTGCAGCAGCAAACCTCCTTCCTGCCACGTTCCAGCATCTCTGCTCCTTTCTTGCCTATTAGAAAAGGAAGAGAAATACACATTCAGCATCCTCCTCACTGTCCGCCTGGTTCAACACTGATGTTCGTTCCCCTTCTCGGGAGGCCCTCACACTTCTCCATGTGAATGTCACTGGGATCAGCTTAGCACTGCTCCCTGCCACCTCCTGGAGATACAGCTGCAGCCCTGGAGGCTTCTCCCTCCCCTCTCCAAGGGCTGTGCTCAGCCTGGTAGTCCATATTTGCACGGATCTGTGCACAGCTGCCGGGCACTGATCCCTGCTGGGCAGACTGGTCCCGCTCGGAGCCGTGGACAGTCTCTCGGCCGTGAGAGCCACCAACAAACCTTCCCTGCCCACCCCGTTCCCTGCCCCTTCCCCTCCCCGCCACGAGCACGGGGCCAAGAACACACCTCGCTGCGGTGCCAGCGCCGGCGCTCTTGGCCAAACAAACTAACTACCCACCTCGGACCAGTCACGACAAACGGCTTACGTTTACCCATCACCTAACATACCCTCAAAAACCAAGGCCACCTTCACATCTTTTGGACACAGGGCAAATGCCCTTGGAGCCCAGCAAGCCCACAGCAAGGGGTCTTGCCCAGGCCAGTCACACCAGATGCTCCCGCACCTCTCCTACCCCTCCCTTGGTGAACACCAAACAGTTATAATACTCAGGTCAATATATATAGGTACCACGTATATGTATTTGTGTCACTGTCCTGCGCGTTAACAAAGACAACCAACCCCACTAGGCACCACTTGTCCTTTCCGCCCCCTCCCCTTCCTCCCGTGGCTGTGCAGGAACATGGCCAGGGACCACCCTACGTGGCCCCATCACACTCCCCCACAGTCAGCTTCAAGGCTCCTTGCTGGTGCAGCGTCTTTAAGGCTTTGAACTCCAAGGGCATGGTGTGCGGGCTGGCCTGCGAGGTGTAGCCATACTTCAGGCTGTCGTAGTAGTGGTATTTGACCGGGTTCTGGTTCTGGTCCAGGGGAAAGGGCCAGAAGCCATAGAGATAGATCTGGTTGCAGAAGCGAGTGGCCAAGGTGTACATGAGGAGGCCGGTGGTGGGTCGCTTGATGTGCACCTTGTTGGTCAGCCAGTACCTGTGAAGGGAGAGGGAAGCCTGTTACTCACCCCGCACACCAGGCTCGTGTCTTGCACGTTATCTCTCTCCAGCCTGCAACTGAGATATATTGGTGATTCAAAGTGAGAGGTTTCTGACTAGTTGAGAGTTCTCCATGCCAAGAAAAAGCCTCTCTAGGGACTGTATCCTCCTGCTCTCTGTCTGCTGGTTACATCACACTTGTTGCCATGGCACTGAAGCATCTCGTGCCTTGGCAATCCTTTATGAAAAACAAATTGCTTGCAACAGTGGCCTTCGGTACTTCAGCCTACAATTATCTTCCAATCAACCCAGGAGATCAATACCACAGACCAAACCACCCACGTCAAGTAGACTCCAGCAACCCCTTGAAGCAGACAGTCATACACACGCTGCTGATTTTCATTGATAAAAGAAGATTTTTACTCTGACTGTAAACACAACGGGGCTGTAAAAAAATTTGCCTTGGAACAAAGGGTCACCAGGCTGAAAGAGCTGAAACACTCTGCTGAATTCCCATTACACCTAGCGACTGCTGCTGTGATCCTGGACCAAGATACATCGCCACACTCTGCACCATCAGTCCATCAGACACACAATATGGCATACTGCAATACATAATGTGAGATATGGAGGTCAGCTGTGCTTGCTGCTGGGAAGCACGTTAGTTTTTATGAGGGATGGCAAAAAGAAAAGGGGAAGGATGTACTGATGCAGGAGCAGAAACGGTATCAGTGGTTGTATTTTGGGCTGCTGATAAAAGTTATTGCAGTTATTATCAACATCCTGTAAGAAGATGTTTTCCAGCCCCCAGTATTTACTGCACAGGCAACTTAGCTGGTTTGCTCAGCAGAAAAATACTGTCAGAGGAGCAAAATCAGAAAGCAAAAGGTTTGGGGAGATAGAAGATTTCCCCATTGGGTGCACTCCCTCCTCCTTCAGCACATCTGATGCCAGCACTGCCCCACAGCGAGCAGGGATGGTGCAGGCAGCTCATCCCACTGTGCCACAGCCTGTTTGAGCCCTTGGATTATTTTTAACAGATACTTCCAAGGGCCTGAGCTCAAGTGAGTGACTGGCAGTCCCTTGGATAAAAGACATGAAGAAGTGGAGCAGAGCACGAGGCATTTCTGTGCTCTCACCCAACATTTGGGATCCTGAGCCGAGTCCTACAGTCGCAGCAGAGCCCTGGGAAGTGTCTTTCTCCTCATTTGCACTTTTTGCTGGACTCCTGAGGGTCTGATGCTCAGACAGCAGGAACCCTTGGGAGAGCTGAGCCTTAATCCTGCAAATTAGCTTTTCATGAAAGCCATTAAAATTTAGCAACCACGGCACAAAACGTGCTTGCTTGTTCTCAGCCAGATAAGAGAGAAATTGACTTTTCTGGTGAAATCAAATTCTGGAAGCAGAGTAATCGCCTTGGCACGTGCAGGAAGGGCACAGGGAGGTGTTTTGGGGTCCAACATCCAGAGGTGTCAAAGCTCCTGCAGCTTTAGCAAAGGATGAGTATGATGCTTTGGGAAGGAGGTTCTTGCCTGACTCATCTTGGCATCCAGCGTGAAAAAGTAGCAACTAGGGGGAAAACCAGAAATTCGGTGGCACAGCATCAGCATTTCCTGGGCTTGCCTGGCCATATGGGTTGCACTGTGGGGACACAGCACAGCTCACTGCGGTGTCAAGGCAATCTGCTCCCACAGGTAGCAATAAACCAGCCTCCTTGATGAGTTTATGGTAAGCACATTAGACCTCCTGCTCGCAGAGGGAAATGGGAGATTATCACAACCATTTAACACTGTGAATTAGGGTATCCTCATGCAGCAGGGAAGCTACTGGGAAGAACTGTCAAGCCATATTAACCAGCTGGCTTTGGAGGAAGACAACTGTCTAGGTTTGTCCAAGCTGCTTTAGCCTTAAAATCCTCCTTTTATCAATTTTTATCAATTTACCAGCTGGAGCACAGAAAGATACTGGTGACCTTCTGCCTGCCCAAAACATTAACTTGTATGTTTTGTTGAGAGGCTGTAAAATCTCTGTGAACATATAAGGACCCTGACAGCATGATGAAGTGACTCCTGCACATGGGGACAGGACATTCATGTGACCATCAGTATCATGCATAGTAACAATGACAAAATGACCTGGGCCAAACACTGAAGCAGCCTACAGACCATGCCATCCTCTGCAACCCAGCATGCACATAAAGCCTTACCAAGACCCAAAAGCAGCCCTACAAAAACCAACCTGCCATACCCACTTCAGCACACAGAGCTAGTGAACATTCACTCAATAATACTGGGGTAGGGAATACTGATCATTCAGTTTTTTATAATAAAAATCAAAACCTGGCTCTTTTGTCTGTATTTCCCTCTGTTGCAGGCAGGGTATTGCAAAAATGAGAGGGATCCAAAGCTTGCTCCTACGGCATCATAAATTCTGACCACAGCTTTGGGAAGGGATGATGGACTCCAGGCTGTCCCAGCCCACCCACACCGATGACACACATAACACATAATGCCCAAACCATAACACAGGCCACACAACAGCACCTGCAGTTTTTTTCCTGGACAGTGAAGGTGGGAAATTCTCTGGTGAGATCTGGGAAATACTTTTTAATGACCGGTTTGTGATGGGAGTTTGGGAGCTATGCAAGAAGATGTCTCTCTTATCTCTCCCACCACTGTCCAGCTCAGACAGTGGCCACATTCTTGGTGCAGGAGAGAACAGCTGGGGATGAAAATAAAACCCAATTAATTCTGTAAATCCAAATGAGGTTGTCTGGGCGCACATGGAATGCTGTGTCAACAGCACACCTTTAATATGTGAGGTCCAGGATTTTAATTAGGAGGAAAGATAATCTTGAAGCAGGTAGTAATTATTTTTCAAATTGGCTACACCAATCACCATAACTATTAACTGAAACATTTTATGGGAAGAGACAACAATTAAAAGAGAAGAGCAAAGAGCAGTCCTGGAACCCAATTCCTCCATTCTCAGCAGTGTGGACCTCCTTCAGAAGCCGGTGCTGTGTCTGTAAATAAACCCTCAGGGGTGGAAGCAGTTACAGAGATAGGCGGCAGCCTGAGCGGGATGCGGCTGTGAACAGGATCTGTAATGCTGTCAGGGAAAAACTGCCTGAGATGGCTCTTGGTTTGGATCATGATAGTGACAGATGGAAAATGCCATCAGATCTTCAAGGCCATCTTTTGTAAGGAGGCAGCCTAGACACAAGCCCTAGCACCTGCTTGAACTAACACTTGGTGGAGGCCAAGGACAGAGGCTTTAAGAAGAGCAGCTCAGAGAGCCTTATCCTAGCTGGTGGGTGGCTCTGGTTGCTCCTCATCTCCTAATCATCAGTTGGAGATTAGAAGTCTCCTAAGCAGACCTGCTGCCAGGTGTCTGACCATTGGTGTATGTCTCCTGTGAGGGGGCTGCTCTGTAGTCATAGGGAAAGCAACTGCTGTATTTGGACCTTAAAGCCCAGTGGGATCCTTCAGGAGGCAACACTGAAACTGCCCCTAGGAAGCCACAGCTACCACACAAGTCAGGGAAGGTGGCAGCCTCCCCACTGCACACCTGGAGCAATGTGCACATCACTTCACTGACAGCACTCATCCTCCCGCAGAGCCACTGAATTTGGGGGGCAGAGCCTGGCCCGGATTTGGGCTGAAACACTGGATGCAAAACTCCTCCATGCAGGCAGCATTTGAGGACCACTAGCAAGGGCAGGGTCCTGCTCTGTGCTTACCCATCACCTCCTGACATGACTGAAAAAACCCTAAAATAACTTGTACCCTCCAAGTAAGGGTTAACCCGCAGGACAAAATGAACAGAAAATCCATTGCCCTGATGAAATGAATAAAAGACTCAGGTCAATGAAGAAATCAAATTTCAGCAGTATCAGCTGCATTATTTAGTGATACAAATCAGAATAGCTGAAATAATGCAATTTCAGACCCTTTTAAAACAGCTTATTCATAAAAGTGTGATATAAACACAAGCTGTTGTGGAGGTGCTAGTCCTTGACTGGCAGAAGCGTATTATCAGTCTGCCACACACATTCTGCTCCCAGTAATACTCAGGAAAAACCAGACACAGATAATCAGAGTGGGCACCACGACTGTGCTCCACACTCATGTTGGTGCAGGTGGGGACAGGACCCGCTGGGGCTGGTAGGGTACAGCACATGTCCTGGTGCTGGGTGGATGAAGTGTTGGAGTCCAGGGAGCAACTGCTATCCCCCCATCCAGCTCCTCCCAGCCCTTTTCTGTCCAGGTATCCAGTCTCCTCTGTCACCAGCACCAAAACAGCCAAGAGCCGTGTACAGTGATGAGATGTGTGCTGGACAGGCAGGAATGGGCATGTCCCTACCCAGAGTCATGCTAACACTGACTCCAAAAGCTAGTATCTGGAGTCAGAGCTGGGCTTTATCCCCAGGCTGGGCAAAGCCCAAACACCAAACACAGCCTCCCTGTTCAGATTGAATCCCTACTGTGTGGCCTGGCTCTGCTTTCAGTGACTTAGCACAGGCAAATCAAGGCTGAATCACAGATAAATGACTCTCCTCCAGGTCTTGAGCTCTGTGATGCCCTTTCAAACACATATGGTACTCAACATCCATAAGTTAGAGCATTTGAAAACAGACAGAAGAGGAGGAAAGGAACTGGGAGGAGAATTACCCTACTCATTTCCCCTTTCCTACCTACGTCAGATTCCTTCTTTTGACACAGAAAAGACTAAAACTTCTTCCCAATTGAACGGAACAAATTAATGGTCTGGGAATCCCAGTGCAGACACATCACAGCTTGGGTACAACGTTTTTCAAGTACTTAAGGGGTGAGAATAATTGCTCACACAAGGATTTATTTGTAGGACACCCAATGACCTAACGCACACTTAGCTTTACGGAGTGTTCGTAGTTTCCCCCCACATCCCATCCCAGTCACACACTTGTGAGTGGCTGTTTTCTCCCCCTACACCCTTTGGCCATATTGTCGCCTCACCTGAGCACAGGACTGCTGTCCTTAACCTGTCTGTGGGACCAGAGAGGAAGGGCTTTAAGGCACGAGACCCCAGAGCAAGTAGAGCAGCCCCTGAAAGGGGGAAGCACAAAAGAGAGGAAGCATGAAGTAGCTGGTTTAGAAAATCTGCAGGTGAGTGATGCTGGTGGATACAGCAGAACCAATCTCGAGACAGAGGGTTAGAAAAGCTGAGCCAGGAGGGCTGTGAAAAAGAAAAGCAGCAGCTTAGGTTTGATGTGTTGGGAGAAAAGAAGGGTCCGTGGAGGGATGCAAAAGAGTGCAATCAAAGCAACAGGTCAGGAGAATCATCTGCACACGTTTGTCCTGTGTGACTATAAGCAGGCAAAAGCTGTTGGAAAAGATCTGGCATAACCGGAACACAAGGTGAGGAGGGATCAGGGGAGGCTTTCCAGCACAGATGGATGGAAAGGCATCTGGCCCTGAAAACTCAGCGAAGGTTTAACCACTGTTTGGGTGTGAGGACCCAGGCAGACATCCAAGGCAAAGCTGCATCCACCTCATGCCCTGCCAGGCTGTACTTCTGAGGAGACATGGCAGGATGGCACCATGGACCCTGAGCAGGGCGATCGCTGTCCTGAACTGTCACAGCTATTTGGATGTTAAACCTAATGGGAGGCTAAGCCAAGGAGCTGGAAGGTTTATCGATCTTTCCTTTTTTTTTTTTCTTTCAAGAAGCACATAACAAAATCTTATGGGATTAGAGCTGGTTACTGCCAAGAGACCCTTGTGATGGACGCAGTGAGAAACACTAGACCAGATTACATGAGGCAAAGTGCAACGTGTCCGTGAATTGTCTGCAAGGAGTGACAGGCAACACTCCAGACACAATTATTTTCCCTCTCTTCCTGCATTTCATGTTATTTCTCTAACAAAAGCTGCATGGCAATAGGGATTATTACAAGGCTTTTTTGAGACACTAGCACATGACTTCCAAGGGGCTTGCTTGTTTCCCAGCCAGGCGCCCACCAGGAGAATTGCTCAGGAGACATTTTACAGAATCACTGCGAAGTGAGACACGAAACCCTGAAACGCACGGTACCATCCCCATGAACTGCCTCCCTGCCACCACACAGCTTCCCCCTCCAGCCTGAGGTGTGACTCTGCTTCCTTTTGACCACCTCCACTGAAATGCTGAAGGCTCTGTGCCCTCCCTGGCGTGAAGATGGTGAGTTGAACCGTGTAAGAGGGGCCTCTGTCCTATTGCACCGATTACGCAGAAGCAACAACACAAAAAGCTATCAGCAAACATTTAAGGCACCCTCACAGCTGGAAAGGTGATGTCTCAAATGATGCTGTTAAGGACAACAAAACCAAATGCTTTTTACTTATCTCAGCAATGCACACTCCGCAAATGCCCCAAATGCACTGAAAATTATAGGAAAAATGTTCAATTGCCACTGAAATACATTTTGGTTTGAGGGAAAGCAGAGTAGGACAATAAATACTGTGGTTCAAGGAGGAGTCAAAGACTCACAAATGTATTTCGCTGGTAGTGAAGGAAGACAAGGCAGAACTTTTGTAGCCAAACTGAAGATGGCTGAGATGTCAGCCTTTCTAGAAAATGCTATTCTAAAGCAGGTGTCTTGGCTGAAAGATTTCCCCTATTTTTTTGTGATTTCCAAATCAACTCATGGTAGATTATAAAGGGTAGTTTTAACCAGCAAAAGAGAGGATGGGACATGTCTGCAATTGCAGCCCACTGCAGCACAGAGGGATGTGCTGTAGGGCTTTGTGAATTGTTGATTCTCTGCTGCAAATTGCCACATGCCACAAATTGTGTTTGTTTCACAAATCTCAGATCTGTCAAAGAAAAATGTAATGCTATGAACCAGCATGTTCTGCAGATGAGAGACGGAGGAAGTTGTTGGAGAACATATCCCTCATAAGCAAACACAGAGGATGATCACGGGAATTAGGCAGTGTCAGAGAAGATGAATAAGTAAACTCTTAGTGATTCTGGTCAGTTTGACCTGAGGAAAGACTCCTTCTTCACCTCCAACAACATCCTATCAATCACTCTGAGCAGATGGGCAAGACAACCCTATTAGTACCTGAGAAACTTCCTATATAGCACCAAGAGCGTCAGCCACCTCCCACCACCCCAATTCACTCAATACTGCCTGAATCAGTATTACTGCTCTTAAATCCATCCAAGTCCAAACCTGAGGAAGCTGCACCAAGGAAAGGGTTAATCCTGACTCCAGCCTTCCCCTAGAGTCACACAGCCCTTTGCCCCCCAACCTTGGGTGACTCCTCTGTGGGCTCCTTGGCCAGGCCACAACACCCTGGTTAGGTGCTGAAGTGCTCCCATAAGTTCTGGCTTTCTGAGGGGGCTGCAGTTTTCATTATATTAATTGCTAATCAGCAGGCATCATTATTTTCCCACTGATAAGTCTGAGAGCAGGAGGGCAGGTCAGGCAGCAGCTCCCTTGGCTTAGAGGGCAATCCCTGACAAGGATTATCACTGGTTTCTATGGTTCTAATCGAATTAGCGCTGCACTTATTCTGTCTCTGTTCTGCTACAACCCACCTTTCTCCATTGCCCCCCCATGGTGACCAGCCCAAGGACAGGATGGAGGTCTTGGCTGAATTTCCAACCCAGACCTTAGAGCCTGTCATCAGCATCATCCAACCACATGCTGGTACCTTATCTATCCCAGACACCACCAACTCACTCCACTCGCTGGTCTGACTGGTTGCCTCCCTCTGAGCCCCAGTAGGTTTTGAGAAGCCTAAACCCAAGTTCCTTGCACGGGACCCCAGTAAAGCCCATGGTTACACCAACATGTGCAAAAGGAAGACACTACTTGAAGCCAAGGGGAGAGGGGGTGCATTGCTCCCTGCACTGAGAGACAGTGCTGAGCCCCTGGCCTTCTCCCAAAATCCCTGCATCTCCTCCAGCCAGGCAGGACCTGCTAGCCAGGGGTGGTGGCTCAAACACTGCTCTGTTGGAGCTCCACAGGGATAACCAGCGTGCCAGCCAGCCCAGCTGGACGGCAGGGCTGTGACATGGAGGGCCAGGAAGGTGCTGTGAGTTGGAAGATAATCTCAGCAGCTGAGCTTGTGAAGGCACCCTCCTCTCCCATGGGAAAGCGATGCCCAACCCTTGCCAATCCCTCTGCAAAGCTTCCTATGGGAAGTTTCTGGCACTGGGAATGGTTGCCAGCACGGGATTAGTAGCATGTTGATTTAAAGGGCTTATTACAGGAGCTTAATTCTATTTTGACAGATGAAAGTAAGTCAATTACAGCTAGAAATAGCTCAGAATTTGGGTTGTGGGGTTTTTTTCCTTCCTGTCTTTCCTTCCTCTGAGTTGTGGTATCATTTCCTTCCCTTTCTTTACCTCAAAGCCAGTGTTTTCTGTAAGATGTCTCTCTGGCCCGGAGAAGCCTCTAACACAGGCACTTGGGGCAGATGCGGTTCTTCTTGCTCATTATTGCTGCCTGTGGGGGCAACAGAGCCTCTGCTCCTCCCAGCCTGTCCTGGAACATCCCCTTAAGCTTGATCCTGCAGGAAATGACCCCAAAACCTGTCCCATGCCCACCTCCATCACCGACAACCAACCTGAGCTGGGACAGACACCCAGCACTGACCAACTGACCAGCAGAGCTCAGGCTCAGAGATGTGGGGGGACAAGTGCTCAAACAATCAAGAAACGGTAATGCAGAGGCTTAGAAGTGGGAGCACCAGGAAATTCCTACCCTGCAAGATTAACAGGGTCTAGTCAGGATCAGAGGACAACTACTGCCATAAGTCATCTCCAGCAAAAGCCACTGCCTGCCTAGACTCCCTAAATGCCTAAGGAATCATAACTCTCCCTAGAGAAATAAGGAATGAAAGCAAGAGCTGACCACCTCTCCAAGTTATTTACATCAAAGTCTCACCTCTTAGGGCTCTCTTTCCTTTATAACCTCTCCATCCCCACCACACCTGTGCCTCCTGTACACCACACAGGTCTCTCCTGAAAATGCCAGGAGAGAGCAGAAAGACCCCTGCCTTCCCTCCCAGCAAGCCCATTCCCCACCACCTGGCCCCATTTATCTGATCAGCAGGGCCAAACCATGTCACTCCCCTCCCGTCCAGGCTGGCACAAGACCTGAGGACCTGTGTGAGACTTGCATGTCACTCAAGCACAAGGTGACAAATCTCATTGCTAAGATCAGTGCACATGTTTCTCCAAGGAAAGCCCAAACCATAGGCTGGAGAGCAGGGTGATACCCCAAGAAAGCACTGGAAAACTGACTTGGTATATTGCTAAAAGCCCTCACACTCAAAGAACAGAGTGGGAAGCCCCTGTTCACAAGGTGGTCTCCAGCTCTTATCTAGGGACCATCCACCACCCATGGAATCCTCCTCATGGTCTGCAGAGAGAAACAACTTGCACTGCTTTCCTCCAGCACAAACCCATCCATCGCCCTCCAGCTCAGGAGGCTCAGGAAATCCTCGGAGCACACCGGAGACGCTCTCACCCTCGGACAGCGTGCAGCAGGCGCAGCGAGGGGTAGGCAGTCCTGACGTTGATGTGGTGCTTCAGGATGAGCTCGTTCACCCACTCCACTCTCTCCTTGCCCCCCTTGGCCATGAAGGCCGGGATCCAGAGGATGCTGCCGTTGAGGCTGTGCAGGCGCTGCAGCAGCTTCTCCCTCCAAGTCTCGTTCACCAGGTCCTCGAAGGCCCGCTGGATGACTGAGGGGTTCATGGTCACCAGGTCTGTCTTCATGCCCACGTCCTGCGAGTACTCCTGGACAGGGGCCAGATTGCACCTGTGAGGGGAAAACACCAAACAGCCCTTTTAAACTGACTGAGAGAGGGCAGTGACAGGCATGAGAGGTGTGTGATGCCAAAAACCAGGGCCCGTTCACCCTCGCTTCTGGGAGGAAGAAGAGGGGGAATGAGCCTCTGCAATAAATCAGTAATGACGAGCTGTCTCAGTATCAGGCCACCATTCCTCAGCAGGATGGTATGTGCATATATATCCCTCTGGGACAATGCTAATAACAGCCATAACTGTGGTGTCTGGTGGGTGGTTTGTACGGATTGGTGGCTCTTCTGGTGCCGTTCAAAAATAACACCAGCAACAAACCTCCTGCCTTTGCTCCCACGGCAGATTTGAAGCGAAACAGCCTTTCCCACACAAGGAAAGCACTCGCCTCTTAATTCCAGCCCTGCTGGAGTAATGTTATCCCAAGTCCCTTTTCTCCTCCTAGTGAGTCTCTGCAAACAGCAGACCCAGTGGCACCGGTGGTGATACTGACACCAGAGGGAGAGGGATGACAGGAGATGGTCTCCACAGGCTCTGGCTGTCTGGAGGCTGTGACCTTCAAAAAATATCTCTTTCTGCAGCGTTAATGGGTGCTTCCACTCCAGGCTGTGCACGTGGACACAGGCCACATGCCATGAGCTCCTTTGTCACAAAAGGGCTGAGGGCCTGCAGGATAAACTGCCATCAAACCACCCTCATGAAAGAGTGGCTTCCTTGGGGGGTGGGGATCTGTGGCTAGTAAGCCATGTCCATGCCATGCACATGGCACAGAGCAAATGGCACTGGGAACCAGCTGATGAGGGGATTTAAGTAGATGTTCCCCCAGCATCGTAAAAACTAGAGGGTACCCATGTGTTTGCACACTGCATGCTCTGCTGTGGTTTCTGACAGTTACAGTATCTAACGAGCAGGAATCGCATCCTAACCATCTGCCTCGATAATCAGCCATCATTACTGTTTTCCCTACTTCACAGATGGGGAAACTAAGGAAATGGTTAAAATGTTTAAAAGAAAATCCAGCTACTGGCATGCAGGGCCCTTCTGATCCACTCATCACTTGAGTCAAGTCACTGAAAATAAACATTGGATCTGTATCATGGACACAGACCCTATCACGTGTCACTGCCAACCCCTGCTGGAAAGGCTGCCTGCATGGAGCAAACCTTCCTCAGGAATATGCAGGTTCAATTGATGGCTCAGATAACCCACGGTGGGAAGAGCATGTCCACGCCAAACCTGCACTAGCACACGGCTGGGGAGAAGCCACCACTCAAAATCCCAGTTCTTACATCCAAAGCAGCTTTTCTCCTGCCACTTTGCTGCCTGATGTGAAAGCAGCTCCTCAAACTTTGCCAGAACGGCAATAAGCAGTTTTTCCCTTTGCTCACTCAGGTTACACTTAACGATAATGCTCCATCCCCTGTGGATAGACTGGAGCTGCCAGCAGCCAGCCAGGCTGGAGCAGCCAGGTTTGAGTGGGGGGCAGAGGTGACATTATCCTCGCTCCCACGTCATGCTGGCACCGCCTTTGTGAGCTGCTGATGGATTGGGCTGTCTTCATAATAGACTCACCAGAAAACAAACGTCTGCATGTACATAAATCATCAGTGGACTCCTACAGCCCCTCAGCTAACAGCTGTGCAGGGGTGTTGGGGATCGGAGGGCAGGAGCTCCTCCTCTCCACTTCAAACACCTCCAGTAGTGACTTCACTGTGTCCCAGTGGGGCTCAGGAAGAGTTCTGCAGGTCCCTGGGACAGTGCATCTGTGCTGAGGATGGAGCAGCCACAGGGGAGTCAGACCTGGGCCTGCACAAGTGTGGTGCCAGGGCACTGTGTGGTGCTCGAGGTCAGAAGTGCTTTGGGGAAGAACTGAGATCGTGAGAGTCCAGGGCTTTGCAAGACAGCAACCAAGTGGGAGAAGAGGAGGGAGCACCCAGAACTGGGGGTGCTGGGGGTGAATAGTGCCCTGGGGGGGCTAATGGTGCACCATGAGAAGACGTGGAGTGCATTTGCAAGAACACTGAGGGAGCACTTGGAGAGGGGTGGAAGAGTTTGCATCAGGATGTTTGCATCGGTGAACTTCACACATGCACGTGGGGCTGCAAGGCTGTGCTGCCCCACACCACCAGGACTCCAGTCCCTTCCACTGCTCCGAACTCGCTGGATCCCCCTCGACTGCACTGACCCACAGGGCACGGGTCCCTACCTTATGACAAAGCTGTGTGCGTCGATCTCGGGGCCACAGCCGCTGCTGAGCAGGACCCCTGAGTTGCCCACGATGGCACAGGTGGGGAACTGCTTGCCCTTGAGGGGAGAGGTGCGGGGCAGCAGCTCATACAGGTTCTGAGAGACGTTCATGGTGCTGTCCCTGTCAAAGACGTAGTGGATGATGTCTCCCGGCTTCAGTGTCCCCTTCAGCACTGAAATGTCCTTCTCTGCATCCAGGAACTTCAAGATCTGTTTCCTGAGGACGAGGAAGAAAACAGCCCCATCAGGTGAGGCACAGAGATAACTTGGGTCATACAGAAGATGAGCTCTTTTGCCTCCTGGCTGCCCTTGCTCTCTGGCCAGTCCATCTGACTGATACTCAACAGCTTACAAATGGGTGTCTCCACCCTTACCACCCATCTCTGCTTGGGACAGGTGAACACAGTCAGTTAGTGGGGGTCCCTGAGTTTACTCTGGGAGGGGGCTCTCTTTCTCCCCTCTGTGCCCCATGGCCTGCACACACTAATTCCACCTGGCCCGAAAAGCAAGGGGCTCAAGTGCTCCTCCTTCCACTGTTGCCAGGCCAGCTGGTTCAGCTGGGAATTCATTTCCAAGCAATAGCTTACAGATATGAAGCCCAGCTCAGCAGGAGATAAGTCTTTTTATTTCTTTCTCGACTTCTTTAGATGATATACAGAGGCAATTTGCCAGCTTGCACTGGAGAGGACCAAATCTGTCTCTTGTCCTATAGGTAATTACCAGTACCTGATCTTCAAAGAGAGTGTCTGGTTGTGTCTCCATTTGGATGAGGCTGGTTTAATGTTGTGCTTAATGCTTTCATTACTTCTGTCAACAACAGCTGGAGACGAGGAGTCATTTATTACTACTTCAGCTCTAGAGAAAAGAAAGTCAGGGAAAGGGAGAGAGACAGGATCTGTTAGCATCCCAATGGCACTTCTAATCACTGTCTTCTGGCTCTGGCTGCTGGAATTCAAACTTCATCAGAAAAGCAAAATTGTAGTTATTAGCTAAACAAGAACTGAAAGCCAGTTTGTATGCTGCTACACTCAAGCAGACAGACACAAATCCTTAAATACCTACTCGCTTCCATGAACACAGACTGACAGCCAGGCACAGTTCTACAGAAAACACACTCTTACACATCGAGCTGCAGAAAGCTGTCCACAAAAACCCACACACAGGCTCTGCAAAGACAGGCTGGCAGATGGACACTTACAGACAAGACACCCCAGGAAGCCCGCAAAACTCACTAAGAAATCTCCTAGCCAAGGCTGGTACCCTGTTGCCTCTTGGAATCCCATGAGGATCCCAAAGCGGAGCCAGCTCAGCTCCTGGAGAGGATAAAAATCCTCGTCAGAGGGGTGCAAACCTCACTCCAACCAAAGGAGAAATTAATTCAGCTGAGCTGCTGGGTGCTGCTTGTGAGCCTGGGCTGTGAGCATCTTGCACCAATCAGGGGCAGGCTGGCTTGCTGGAAACTTCTTCCCTGGCTAGAATTGAGCACGAGGATTTCAGCACTCGTATCACCTGTTCCAGACCAAGAACTGAGCAACAGCCAGATGCTGGAGATGATCACTGGGAGAACTCAGCTTTTAATCCCTGCTCTAAGAAGCAAATCAGCCCCAGCACTTTAGTGCTGTTTAAATCAAATGGCATGAATTGAAGGAGTCTCCAAATATTTGGTTCCAGCCAGCTGCCCTCCAAAAACAATAGCCAAGCATCTCATCAAGAAGCTGTGTCTGTATCTGCAGCCCTGAAAAAGCCTTCACACTACAGAGCACTCTGAAAAATACACAGCCAAAGTACTCACTATCAGCTAAAAGGAATCTCTCTCTCCAGTGCAAAGGGCTTTTTCCAGCTGGGAAATGGTTTGTAAATAAATGCATTTATAAAAAGCATGTAAACCCTAAGGAGGGAGCAGAGTGAAAGATGGGGCAGAGCTGGCTGCTCAGGCTCATGGACAACATCCAGCTCCAGAGAACAAATCTCCAGCACAGGAAAAGTGCTCCCCAGGACACACTGTAGCTCACACAGTATAATGTTTCAGGAAGGCAAGGAAATGTGTTTATAAATGCTGGCTGCCAGTGTCCTGGTGTGTGTTTGTACAGTACCTCTCTAGAGGCTGCCAGTCTGTTGAATTTGTTTGCATCTTGCATTTTGCCATATCACTTGTGTCTTGCAGAGCTTATGTAGAAGGTGTCAAAAATCATAAAGGAAGTAGAGTAAAGAAATCTTGGAAATAACTACAATTTTTTTTGGTTTTGTCCATTTTCTGTGTTTCGATCATGGGTGGTGACATCATCACAGAATGACATCACTGTTTCTCACATGGTGTCACTAAGCTCTTCAACTGTGCCACTTGGTAACGCTGGGCTGACAGGGAATCACTGTAAAAATAACACAGGGAGACACTGAATGAGGCTGTGATGCCATGGAATGACTCTGCAATGGAGCGACATTACAGGAGTGCAATGCGATAAACCTGAATGGAGTTCTGATCTCAAACACAGCAATCTCTCTTCTAATAGCACTTAAAACTATGGAAATAGCAACTCTATCACTGACTTATTTTCACAATAAGTAACTCTTTCCCATTCTCTCAATCACCGGAATTTGCAGATCCTTGGTTATTTGCAGATGATTATTGCATTGAGCTGGAAGAAGGAGGGGGAGAAACGATTAAGAAAATGCAAAGCAGAAGTGAAAAGAAACAGATACATTTGCTAAATCAGAACAGCACTATCCAGCGAAGAGGAGAAGCAGATTAATAGCTGCCTTACAGCAAAAACAAATGAACACAAAATCTAATTTACAAACCTATTAGATTTGCTATGTAAGCTGTTCACAGCTGATCTGATTGTACCTCTGCCTCCAGAACTCCTGCAAGACAAAGGAAATGCATTATTTATAAATCCAGCTTCTTTTTGCCAAGCATTGTTCAACAGTCAAGAGATCCTGCTCTGAAGGGCTCCAAGTGGAGACACTGCCATGCCATTCGAGTCCCACCCCATCCAGAAGGGAGATGTCCTGATGCCTCTGAAGGGCTTTTCATCCACCGTCACTGCTGCCCTACTGCGATCGTAAAATCATTCTGGCAGAAAAGCTCCGAGCCAGCCCAATTAATAATACCTGCGTGATCTAACCAGCCATCAAAGACATCTGGTCTCTGCTGTCAAAGCAGCGTGCAGCCAATAGTTGCATTAAATACATCTCTACTTCTCTTTACGAGTCACGTGTTAGCAGTGCACAGAGAAGGTCTCCTTCAACTCCAGGATGCCCAGGGACCTTCCCTTCCTTTTCAGGTAGGGAAAAGGAATGATCAGGACAGGATTCCCACCACTGTGTTTATGTGAGCTTTTACTTGAGACTGTCCAATATCTCTGTTTTATCCAGATTGAGTCACCAGCCTCCTGGTAACCAGTGGAGACCTCATCTTCACAATGCACCTTCTCCCAGCTTCCAGTGACCCAAGGCCCCATGCCAGCCCCCTCCAATCCCATGAGTGCCCTGAAGCCTCTTGTTCCCACTTTTAGTGTAACCTGGCTGAATCTACGAGGCCAACTCACCACAGTCATTCACATGCTGGAACTCAAACCTAAGTGACAGCACTGTCACTCCCATGGCCTGACACCACCACACATGGACAGGTGCCAGACCTGCCTGAGCATGTCCTGTAGGAAAGAACAGCCAAAGTTTCCAGCATCTATATGATGCTATAATGCAGAACAGATGGGACCAAGCCCCTTCAGAAACCTACATCATTCACATGACCTGTATCCTCACTTAAAAATAAATACATACGTGTATTGGTCTGTATCTAGCAGGCTGAAGAGCCCCTTCTTGCTTTAGCTTGCTGCTTTTTAAAGGGGTCACAAAGAATGAGTTGCCCACCTTGTGATGCACAGTGGGAGTCAGACATATTTTAACTGCCACACTGGTCTGTTTTATTGTTTCCATTGCACAGATATCCCAATGAACACACTCATAAAGAGAACCAAATTCTCTTCCAGCAGAAGTATTGTTACCTGGAAATATATACCTTAATGAAAATGTATCTCAGGAGAATGTATTTCTGCGAGTTCTGAAAAAATCCCAAATGAATTAGACATAACTGAAAAAGAAACAGAGTGTGTGAACAGTCAGTGCTATTAAAAGATTTTCAGGCTTGCGGGATGTGACATAAATCCCTTCATTAGGCTGAGCACAGGCCTCAGCACCACACAACATCAAACCCTTGGAAGTGCCACAATGATTGTCCCTTTCCTCCCTCCTGCCAGAGACCATCTATGGACAAGTCAGAGCGATTCCTGCTCCGACCCTTCTCCTTCCTTTGAGAGACCTGAGAGTCAGCGAGCTGTTTCATTTTTTGGTGCATCAAGGGAACAGCAGGACAAGCTCATTCCTAGAGCCTACTGGCATTTAACAAGCCTCTGCTTTAATGGGGTTCACCACAGGGTGTGGGAGCAGACTGGATTAGTGTGCAAACCACGCATCTGCTCAGATACGTCTCCTCTGAAGGAGCCTTCCAAATGGGATTCACACTCCTTCACACTTGCTGTAGGACAGACAATGCTTAGAAAAAGAAATGTTTTTTTTCCCTGAATAAGTGCCAGTTCACAATCTCTGTGAACAGAAAAAAAAAGATACCACGGAAATCAGGAAGTGAAGACCTGCTAGCTCCCACCTCCATGTTTTGTGCCTACAGCAGGACTGATCCAAAGCATCACAACATATTATTCAAATGCATTTAACCAGTCTAGCCTTACATGCCCCCAGTGACAGGTCTGTGCAAGTCTTCTCCTGGAATTAAGGCTGGAGAAGCTGGACACAAGGTAGGCAAGTTGAAAGCACATTTCCCAGCTGACTTTGTGCAGTATGGGGGGAAGGAGACTGGCTGCCAGGTCCCTGGCTGAGAAACCCTACAAGCACAGTTTCAGGGGTTACTCTTTCCCCTTCACACACAGTGAGAAGCAAAAATACTGCAATGCAAACAGAGCACAAAGGGTTCTGCTATCATACACGATCATGGAGGGGGTGGCTCATCGGTGGAAGGAGAGCAGGGCTCTGCTAACCTTCTTCCCATGACTTGCTCCATGGCCCTGGGCTCACTGCTTTGCTGGCCAGCAGCAGCCACAATGCCCTCACAGACAGACACCTGAGATGCTGGCAAAGGCACTGCTCCCTGTACCAGGCTTGGTTTCTTTCTCCAAGCCATGGAGACTGCCCAAAGCTGGGACATGATAGTTGGCTGAAGGTCTCTGCTAGTTTAATGAATCCTTAAAAATTCCTGTGGCTTCAAAACTATCAGCCTTTTGGTGCTTTGTGTCCTACACTACAACTTTAGGACATTTTTCCTACAATCTCCCTTTGTACAGTCGAAGACAACATGTGCTGTGCATATGATGGCCCTGCCCAGCCATCCTGCTCAGCTCCAGCCCACTGATGGGTCCCGGCAAGACACAACAGCTGCTCAAAACACCATAGCTGAGCTAGGCACAGGATTTTCCAAGGTCTGCCATATTTAATTACCAACATAGGCAAGCCAGTATCACCATACTCCTTCACTTCCCCCACCTGGGAAGAGGAAAACATTTAGAAATGGAAGGTACTAATTAAGAAGCACATGTTAAGAAAAAAAAAATCAGTCCATTTTGTTATACCTTGCTGACCTGGAGTTTCAAATCTCTTTGCTTCAAAAGGAAAAGACCAACCTCGATTAAAATAGTACAGATAGCATTGATTTTGAAAAGCTTTCTAGTGCAACACTGTGTTTGGATTGAATTGCCTTATTAATCTAGTTGTTATCAGTTTGATTGTGTAGCCAGCTCCACAAAGTACCAACCTGCTTCCTAATCCTATTATTTACAAAACATTTTTCTTTGGGCTTCTGTTGGGATGTTTTCCAGTGATAAGTTGCATCTATATGTGCTAATGCCATCTTACTGGCTTATGCCATCCTTTCTCATCTTTTTTTTTTTTTTGCTTTGAGATTTTCAAGCTGAATTTCCACTGTCTAAGACATTATATAGGTCAAAACATTCTGCGCTCAGATGTAAAGTGACACTGATTCATATATCAGAGGATAGAAAAGAAAAATTGTCTTATGTTTCAGGTCCAAATTTCCTTGGATGAATAATTTCTGACAAATCAGGTATGCAAAGACTCTTCTATTCACCCACTATGAATGGGCTGTTTAGGGTTTTTGCTTCTCTTTTCATCGTTTCCCGCTTCTTAAATGCTTCTCTTAATTGTTGCTAGGTACGGTTCGGTCTCGCTTCGAGCAATTTCGATACGTGAAATCAAAGCTGCTTTGACTGAACAAGTAGGTCACACAGCCTCGTTGGGCGAGAGGATCTCTTAAGAACAGGCTTTATGCCTCCATATTCTCAGCCTTACAAATTAAAAAATGTGTTTTCCATGGATATTTTGCAATTCCCACCCCTTCAGTCCTGTTTCTCCCCCCCCCAGCATCTGTGGTAGACAGTGCACGTGGGAAGCGGGAATGAGAAACAAAAGCTAACCAGGAACTTCAGCCCTACCCAGCCACACATTACATAGATCATATAATTATCTGGGGTTGGAAGGGACCTTAAGGATCATCTGGTTCAAAACCCCCTGCATTTAACCACATCTGTGGAGCCCATTCCTGGTGGAACAAAACCTCTGCCTCTTCCTGACCTTGGGCAACCCACGTCCCCCTCTTCTCCTTCCTCCACATAAAAGAGAGATAATAGTCCCTTGGGGGACTATTAAGCAGAATTTATCCATCTGAATACCTCAGGAAGAGAGTTCAGAGTGCCACAATTTTTATCTGAGGGGTTCGAATGACTAACACCTACTAATTAGGTTTTCACAACCTACTTTTGTGGTATGTGCATTTTATGATCCTTGTTTTACAGCTGGGACACTGGGGGTGAAGTGGCTTGCCCTTTAACACCAAAAAATGAGCTCCACAGGAGCAGGCACTATGGGCTTCCAGCAGACCTGTCATCTTGAAAATGCTACTTTTTACTTGCTGAGATCGAGTACGGCTCTTGCTGGGTGAGAGGGTAGGACACATGACTAAGAGGACCAAGGGACTTGATCTGAAAAGGTCTCACTATCCCAAAAAGCAGATGCAACCATTAGTCTCCTGAGATGGCTGCAGACTGCACCCATTAGGCAGTCTGCATCTATTTTTAAAAAATAATAAATCACAACTTATATTTACTTTGCTTTTTTAAGGGTTGCTCTGATGTTGTCCTCAAGACCAGAATTGCTATTTTCTATCTCAAGAGCACATGAGCACACTGCCTGGGCCTGGCCAGGGACCACCACCCTCACACAATCACTGCCTTCCCAACCCACGGGCTCTCCCCGAGGCAGCCGGGCAGGGAGGGGATGTGGAGCGGGATGCTCACAGCCCCTCTGCAGGATGCTGTGCCATGGCCAGAGCCCCAGGCACTGTAACCACCAATTTTGGGACACACCATCCAGCCCCTGGAAATGAAGTATATAGATGGCCCCTCTTTCCCCAAACTTGATAGATTTGATCCTGCTATCCTCACAATGCTGTAAAATGTGGACCACAACACAGGCTTGAACCCTGGATCCTGTTCCCCTCAATTCAGGGTCTGTGTTGAGACCAGTAGAACAGAAAATGTGACTCCAGGGTTTTTTGGGGAAAATTGTCACATTTCCAAGTTATCTATGAGAAAGACATAATGGCTTCCAAGCTCAAACCTGTCCAGCCTGCCCTGCAGGACAACCAAAGGTGTCCCAAGAGACCAAAATAAGCAGGAACCAAGGCCAGAGGCTGGAAAACAGGACTCCTTGGGGATTGTATCCTGGCTTTCCATCTGCACATCAGGGTCTGGCTGAAAAGATGGAAAAAGGCCACA